GTGTGTGTGTGTGTGTGTGTGTGTGTGTGTGTGTGTAAGGGGGAGGGGAGCTGGGGACTCCTGAGCTCATGGCTACCATCTTGAAGAGGTAGAGAGAAAACCACGAATTTGTAGGCAGTAGGTCAGAAGTGAGGGTGTTGTGGGGACTTCTCAGAAGTGAGGGTGTTGTGGGGACTTCCAAACTTGTGGCTGGCATCTGAAGCCTTGGGAAGACTTGGCAGTCTGGAGGACTGTGTCCTCCCCTCCGCCACCCCAAACAAAAATTTATACATACAATGTTATGTGACTCTAACTGCTCTCCCCATACTGTGACAGCACACTTCTTTCCACCCCTGATTCTCCATATCCATTCAACCAGCTCCTAACCCTCCCTGTCTTACCATCTCACCTCCAGGCAGAAGCTGCCCATTTAGTCTCCTGTATACTTGAGCTAAGAGGCACACTCCTCATGAGTATCACTTTATGACCCACAGTCCAGTCCAATCCCCATCTGAAGAGTTGGCCTCGGAAATTTTTTTAGTTCTGGGTTGATAGAGAATCCATGGGCTATGCTTTCTGGGGTTCCTCCAGTCTCAGTCAGACCATTAAGTCTGGTCTTCTTACTAGAATTTGAGTTCTGCACCCCACCTTTCTCCTGCTCCATCAGGGGCTCTCTGTTGTGTTCCCTGTCAGGGCGGTCATTGGTGGTAGCTGGGCACTATCTAGTTCTGGTCTCAGGCTGATGAAGTCTGTGGTTTATGTGGCCCTTTCTGTCTCTTGGGCTAATACTTTCCTTTTGTCTTTGGTGTTCTTCATTCTCCTTTACTCCAGGTGGTTGGGACCAATTGATGCATCTTAGATGGCCACTTGCAAGCTTTTAAGACCCTAGATGCCACTCACCAAAGTAGCATGCAGAAGATTTTCTTAATAAGCTTTGTTATGCCAGTTGACCTAGATGTCCCCTGAAAGCATGGTCCCCAGACCCCTACCCCTGCTACTCTGTCCCTCAAAGTGTTTGATTATATTGAGGAAACTTCTTAGCTTTGGTTTAGTCCAGTTCTGCTGACTTTCCCTGTAGTGTCTGCTGTCCTTCTCTTCACCTAAGATAATTCTTATGTACTGTCTAGTTAGTAAATAACCCTTACCCTCCCTTCCCACCCTCATAACCAGTGTGTCCTTTAATTTTGAGATCTGACCTAGCTCGGGGTGGTTAGGGTCAGAGAAAGAAGTGTTGCTGGTTGATCTTTACACTTTAGTGTGAGAAGTGGGATTCTGAGTTGTTTTTCCAAGCATCCTCCCCTTTCTACACTGAAATGATCACTGCTGTATAAAACTGGTGTGTCATGGGAAGAAGCAAGAGAACTTAAGAAAAGGCTCTTAACGGTTTAATTTAGCTATCATTTATGGTCTATTAACAATTAATTTCTAATAAAAGATTTAGAGGCTTAAAGGGAAAAGTAGGACATGAAAGGACATCTATCGCCTTCCTCCAAACCAGGGGAGAACAATGTTTGATATTCTTACAAGATGTCATAGTTCTCGTGTATTTCTGCAACCTTGCTAGATAAGGAGAATGGATGGAAGACATGAGAAAAAGGAAGGAATCTGTAGCTCTAGGCCTTTATGTTAGAAATAAATTCTTTCACTATACAGTGATGATACAATTTTTGAGGATATATAATATTGGAAGCTACACTGGTGCAAGGCTGTCTTCAAAATGGTCTGTCTTGATGCAAAAGTACATTCGGTTTCAATTAGGGCTTCAAATTGGTTTGAACCAGTTCAGTCACAGCCAATGAAGTGAAACCAGAAAGGACGAGAATTTTTACAATTCGGGTGAACCTGAAGATAATCGGAACGGAAAAATTACAGGTCAAAGCCCTGGAATGGGAGACTCAGAAGAGGTGTAGTGAGCCCTTTCAGGAGTCTGACACAGGAGACTTATGACTGGGTTACCGGCAGGACTGTGGAGAGCGACACAGATTCCAAGCAGCACAGTTGGAGGCCATCTTTGACATCTTTGAGTGGGGCACCACTGTTTCTGCCTCTGCTCAAAATCTGAAGGGCAAGAGATTTGGTTGCTATGCAATGCATATGCTGCCTTTGTTATCTAAGAGGGAGATTAAGTTTCTAGGAGGCCTTCTACCTGTAATTTTTCCTGTTCTGGTTATTGTTCCAGTTCACCCAAATTAAAAAAAAAAATTTTGGTTTGTTTCGGTGTCACTTCCTTGGCCATGACTGAACCGGGCAGAACCAGTTCAAAGCCGCAGTTTCAATCTATTCCATTTCTGAACATTCCCTTTTTATCCCCTTAAAATGCCTGGATTTAAGACAGGGGGGAGCTACAACCCCAGACGGTGTGAGTCTGAGAGTGTGGTCTTCCTTTACTCCTTTATTCTAATATGTTCAAAACCAAACATGGAATATTGCTAGAAGCTGAGTACCTCTGGACATTTCTGTGATTAAGGACATGGTGGGTTTCCTATAATAATAGGATGAATGTTATTTCCCATGTCCTTTAGAATAATACTTGGAATTTTAGTTGTGCTAACTGTCTATACCACTCATTCAGCATCAGTTCCAGGCTATTTGGTATCATTATAATTATAAATCTTCTCTTCCCTAGTAGATAGGTTAGGACTGGGTATATGTGTGTATATGTGTACATGTGTATGTGTACATGTGAGAGAACACTTGCCTTACAATAAACCAAACTAAAACTAAACCCATTGCTATCGAGTTGATTCCAACTCATAGCAACCCTACAGGATAGAGTAGAACTGCCCCATAGGGTTTCCAAGGAGTAGCTGGTGGATTTGAACTGCCAACCTTTTGGTTCGCAGCCAGGCTCTTAACCACTGCACCACCAGGGCTCCTGCCTAACAATAGTGCTTAATAAACATTTACTGTTGATACTGATCATTTTGTTAGCAATTTGGCTGACACAACATAATTGGACTGATGACTTCACAGAAGAAACAACATGACTACTTTTTCCTCGATTTAAGTTATAGGTCTTAACTCTAGTAGGTTAGGAGAGGAAGAAGAAAGCTTTGAGTTAAAGACCATAGCCCAATCCAATCAAATACAGCATATACAGATAGTGTTTTGGGGAACAGAAATGTCATTCATGGAGTAACTGAGTATTCCCCACAAAATCTGACTTTATAAAAATAATACTCAAAGTCTTAAAAATCTAAATGAAAGACACAAATTTTAGGGATCAACATATAAGGAATGAAGGAGAAAGACACGATATTACTCTTAGACAGCAAAAGTTTATAAATATTAGAAAAGACCAAGAAAAAGACCTGAACATAGTCCACATTTTCAAAGATATCGCCACGATGGTAGCGCACAGGCTGATCCCACTGGCAATGTAAACTATGCTGCTGGTTGACCAGACGGCATATTTGATGATTTCCTGGAAGAAGAAATTACGAATGATGAGAGGTCAGTAGTACATACATGATTTTCTTAGCTTAAGTCATTTAGTTTCAACCCTGTATCCCTCAGAATCTAGCAGAGTACTCACACAGAGGGTACTTATGAAGGGAGACACTCATTAACGGCTAAATTAAATCTTCCTAAAGAAGCCTCAGTTTCCCCACCTATAAACCAGAGAGAGTATACTAGTTGATTTCTAAGGTATCTTCTGGCAATTATATTCTCAGACCGTAAAATCTACTGATTCCAAAGTTTTAAGAGATTTTGACAATGTCTCTGGAGAGAATTTGCTTTACGTATGTCATAATTTTGTTTCAAACTTATATATAAGAACTCTGGTTGCATTTCGGTACAGACTGAGCAGTAAATAATCCCAAGGACTGAACATATCTTCTGCACTCAAAATCGAAAACAAAACTTGTGAGGTGGATTGTAAATGGTCATAGCTAATGTTCAAAGGCTAAGAGGTTTTCCAGACCAATATATGTATCAGGGGAGAAGGGTATAATTTAAGGGATTCTATAAATTTACTTGCTGGTGTCAAGATGTCGTATCTGCTCCCCTGGGGTCTGAACAGAAACTAAACATTTTGGATATAATCAAAACCACAAATTTATCACCAACCCAAGTTCCTCAAGATCTAGAACCTTGTTCTTTCTATTTTTTTGGGTCACAGACCTTCTCTAAGTGATTTTAATAAAAGGTTTATAACTTCTTCTCAGAGAAAAACAGTGTGCATGTACACAGTTCCGTATATAAATTTTGGGAGGATTTCAGAACTCCTTGAAATTAATGCATTGATCCAGGTTAAAAACTCCTGCCCTAAACAAATCCTAGTCTAAAACCTTACTTCTAAAAAAATTTTTTTTTGTTTTTTAAAGGGGGTAAGAAAAAAAACAAAAAATGTTTAGCCTTATTGTCAGTCTTAGTGCAAGAGTATGGATGCTTTGTTTCTAGGGTGTGTCTGGCTTTTGTTCATGTGGTGTAGGACCCTGTGGCTCAAAGCATAGCTTAAATTCAGAACAGTAGCATCAGGCATCACCTGGGAGCTTGTTAGAAATGCAGAATTCAGTACAGACCTACTGAATCAGAATTTGCTTTTTCTTTAAGTTTAAATTTAATATTTTAATAAGTGAATAATGAAAGCAATTACATGAAGTACATGGAGCTGCTGGGCACATACAAGGGGCATCTAACCCAAATGTGGGGGATTACAGCAGGTTTCCAGGTAGACAGGACACCTGAATTGAGACTTTAAGCGTATGTAACAATCAAATAAAAAAAAGTAGAAAAAAAATTTTTATTCAAGGAATAAGAAAATTTAAGAGTCAGAAATGTTGGTTTTGAGTTCTAGTTCTGCCAACAACTAGAATAAACCTGTAAAAACCAAACCCGATGGCTACGAGTTGCAACTGACTTCCTGGCAACCAGCAACAACAATTCAGCTGGATTGTTCTAGGCCAGCTGAAACAAACACCCCTGCCTTGGAAGAGTTATCTCCCCGTATGAATCCTTGCCAGGGGAACTGGAGTCATGAGATTAGTTAAGACCCCTCGTCTCTTTAAGGAAGGAGAAGTCAATTTTGCACATTGACCAGAACCACTGTGAGCAGGTGGTAGAAAGTTGTGGTCACTGCACATAGGTCTTTCATGGGAGAGGTATCAAAGCATTACCAGTGTAAGATCACTAAAAAGACAAACTGATTGTGAAGAGCCACCAAACCAAACCCCTTGCCATCAAGTCAATTACAACTCATAGTAACCCTACAGGACAGGGTAGAACTTCCCCACAGGGTTTCCAAGGAGTGGCTGGTGGATTCGAATTGCTGACCTTCTGGTTAGGAGCTAAATGCTTAACTACTGTGCCACCAGTCAAATCATTCCAATAATCATCATCTAAAACTCTTTCTCTTAAAACAGAATCTGCATTTTAAAGAGATCTCCAGGAGATTCATATACATATTAGAGTTGGAGAAGCACTGATGTAGGGCACAGAGGGCAAATAACTGTTAAGATTCTCAGGATCTAAACGTCTTAGTTTTTACTTCACTATGTGAATTAAAAAAGAAGGATCCAACCAACTCTCCAGGCCTCCTGGTAAACTCACTATAATGTATCTTGATTTTAAGACTGAGTGGAATCATAAGCACACCTTTATTCTGCTTTATGGCTACATGGAAGTTATGAAAGCATGCTAGAAGTGAATTTCCTCACTTGTCCTTGATCACTGAGAATTAATACTTACCTAATTGTGCCTCTTTTGCCATCTGAGTCTCATGGATAATATTTCTTAAGATTTGCTCCTCCTGAATCAACTTATGTTTTTCTAGGATCTCCTGCTGTCTCAGGTAGTGGTCATGCTGTTTTTGATACTCTTTCAACTCATTCAGTGTTCGCTGGAGGGATCTTAGCATTTTTTAATATCAGGAAAAAAGTTACAGAGCTTTAAAATGGTGACTTTTTAAACCCATTTAAATGCATAAACATTCTGGTTCTCAGTAATGATTGCTACACTTTGTCCTTTTAACATGTAACCAATGTACCACAAGCTCAAGAATAACAGGAATAAATAAATGCTATTGTCTTATTAAAACTTGGTGGTAAAAAGATGGATGTGAAACTCTTCCCTTAATATAAATATCTTGACATTACATGGTGTGCTGGGCTTTTCAGGTGCCACAAAAGATATATAACAATATACTACAGATCTTTACATATTTAACAACTTCATTTCCCTCCACAAAATTTGTGTTACTTATATTCACATTCAAAGTCTTTCTAGAACCCTTCCCCTTCCCTGCTTTTAACCTTTTCCTTTGATCTTACCTAAAGATAAGGGTAAGAGGGCCACAGTACCTTGATCTCACACTCTAGCTCCTAGGATAACAGATTTTGGGAAAAACAACAGAAAACTTCTGCTTAGAAAGAAATATTCTCCACCACCTGATTTTAATAAATCAGCTGCTTGATTACAGTCACAAAACTCTTATTACCTATTATACTGTAACATACAGAGATTTAAGAGCTATACAGACTGGGTAACAGAGAACTAGTTCCATTTTTAAGAGCAACCTTTGGGAAGAAGCTCAGTTTTATGAATGAAAACAAAGCTAGGGCAAGTTCTGAACAGGTATAACAGAAGCTAGTTATAAAACAAATAAACTGTCATCGCTTCCTTTTCACTCCATTAAACAGATGGAAGAATAAGCAAATACTAAAGTTTAATGGGTTCCAAATTTCCATTTAATTCTCTAACAACCAAAAGAGACACAAAAATATGAAGGGTAATTCTGTAAGAGATGAACAATTCACTTCTGAGTTATGTCAAGCTTCTTAATTGCTCCTATTACTTGTGGAATCAAAATATATTTTTTATCAAGTATACTACAAGGATCAAGTACAACAGAATCCCATTACCGTACAATGTAACACAGACATTTGCTTAAACTGTGGGTCATACAATATCTCTCTGCTCCACATAATTAACATAACAATAGCCTAACCCTAGGAGCCAAAGAAGAGAAAGATCAAATATAGCACGGGCAAGTGATTTTACTGACACGTAGCATATTCTATGGAAATAGAAATGTAATTAGTAGAATTACTGAGTATCTCCCAGTCCCCAAACTGACTTCATAAAAGCAGCTGGTGCTCTAAATCGTAAAGAGCAAAATGATAGATTTTACTGCAAACATTCTCTAGTTTCTGGAATTCATGCTATTTAAGAGATTCATTTACACTACCACTGGATGTGTGCTAAAACCAAAAACCAAACCAAACCAAAACAAACTCATTGCCCTCAAGTTGATTTTGACTCACAGTGACCCTACAGGACAGAGCAGAACTGCCCGTAGGGTTTCCAAGGCTGTAATCTTTACGGAAGCAGACTGCCTCATCTTTTTGCTGGTGGGCTCAAACCTCCAACCTTTTGGTTAGCAGCTGAGCACTTAAACACTGTGCCACCAGGGCTCCCTGATTTGTGCTAAACCACCTGGATTTGGAGAAAGGGGACAGGACTAGCAATAGTAAAAAGAGGTTTCTGTTTTAATTCTAATGACCAAATGAACACTGATACCACCGTCCACAGACCTGACCTAAGGTTCTATGGTGCTAGTGCTTCGGCAAAATTCTTTCTGCCAATTACCTATGTTGAGCCTCCAATTTCTGCTCAAGTTTTTGTTGACAAAGGACAGCGTGCTTCCTCTTTATAGCTTGCTCAAAGCCAGGTTTGGCCTGCAAAGCATGGTCATAACAAAGCACTGAGTGGTTATATTCCCCAAGCATCTGAAGAGACAAAAACAAACACACACATTGGGGTGGGGGGGGGAAAGGTTAGCCATGGCCTGGCTGCATCTGTCCAGACTCCCTAATTACTTATGAAATCACATCTATACCTCATTCTACAGTGAACATTATTTTCATCAGTGGTCAGATCTCCACAACATGAAGGCATGCTATTAGACGGCTCATTTGGAAAGTACTGCTGTTTTAAAATAGTAACAGGTCTACTCTGGAGAAGTTTAATATTTTTAACAATTTAATTAATTTTCCTATCTAGAGGCTAGAACAACTATGATACACTAATGCGTTGAAGTTTTTCCCCTAATTTCTTCATTTCTATCCCTGTCCCCTTGTTCAGATACAAAACTGGAAGGAAAAAAAAGACACATTATTGAAAAAAAAAGAAAGAAAATAGCAGCTCATTTGACTCATGAAACAAAAAGTTGTATTTACTGCATATATATTCCCCAAAGTGTAATAGCTGGTGAAGAAGTCGCTGTCATCCAGGGCTGCGTGGACCACGACAGCAGCATCAGCAGAGAAGTGTGCTCTGTGCAAAACGTTTGCCAAGTTGACCAGGGCAATGTCTTTATTGTGCCTAAAAGAGAAGCGATGTAGTTAAATTTTAGGAAAGAAGATCTAATGTGTTCCACAATTACGTATAACTACCTGATAAGGTAAAATGACATTCAAAGTTACTGTACTTAGGAAAATAACTTTGAGTATACTTACCAAACCCAACCAAACCAAATCAAACCTGTTGCCACTGAGTCGATTCTGACTCACAGTGACCCTATAGGACAGAGTAGAACTGCCCCATAGGGTTTCCAAGAAGCATCCGGTGGATTTGAACTGCTGACCTTTTGGTTAGCAGCTGAGCTCTTAACGACTGCACCACCAGGGCTCCTGAGTATGCTTACAGATAGAGAAAATAATTTAAGATAATCACAATGTCTCATTTTTACAGTATTGATGGTGTTTATTCAATCTGATAGCTACAAATTTTGCCACAAAAACAAATGATTTTAAAATGTATTTTATGCTTTTAAAATGTATTTTATGATTTTAAAATATACTTTATGATTTAAAAATGTATTTAGGGTTTATATTTAAGAAAAATTTAACTTATGATAATTTCTCCAGCCAAGGTCCTTGCATTCAAGTCTCAAGTGAATCAGAAGACATCTACATTATGTATTTTTTTCCTTAATGGAAATCAGAAGTATATCATGAAATTATCATGTTGAACTCTTTGACATTTGTGATTTTTCATGATGGGACTAATTTCTCTGGAGATGGAGGGGAATATAAGTACAATACACTGCTTCTTTCTATTGTTTTCTTATGTACCCCTTTTCTAACAGTTGTGAGTTATGTGGAAAATTGGGAGACCCAGAGGGAAGGACTCTTACCTGGAAGAGAAGTGAAGTGCTCGCATGGCACATTCCACTACCTGATATGGCTCATTCTTTATTCTCCAATAAAATGAAGCCATGTTATACAACACCCATGAGGAAGCGTTCTAGAGATTTAACAAATAAAATGGCAATCAAACTCAATTCAAGATAGATTGCTTAACTTACGATGTTCAAAATGAGTATCTTTAATACTCTGGCTCTTCTGAAATTCAAGATGAAGAACAAGACTAATTATAGCAGCGATAAAGCAGAGGACAAAGTACAAATAGACTACACCTGTTAAAACAGTCCCCTGATCATCAGTTGAGCAAGAATATTAAGGTGTGATCTTCATTTAGAGAACATCCAACTCCAGGCTATCATTTCAAGGGGAAACAAAGATGAAAAAACCAATAAGGGGCCACAACTTGTTGAGTTTTATTTAAGACATTGGAAGTTAAGACCTAGCTTGATTAAAAATGACAGCTCCTTTAACATGAAATTCCTGAACTATGAAATTATCACATTCCAAATGGTCCTCATATTTAACATCTGACTCAAAGTACAAACTCAACCAAATGACAGGCTTATGCTTTTGTGAAAGATGAATTTTTGTCAGTTTTTCATGTGTGTTTAGAATCTAATTCAAACCTCAAGTTTCTAAAAAGTAAATCTTTAGGTTATAGTGGTATATGTATTATTTAGTGAAGTTAAGCAGAATTTCAGATAGGCTTGCTTCTTTTGTGGCTTGGATTTTTCTTCCTTTAAATACACTGAATTTCAGCCACATAAAGGTCAAAACACTAAGCTGAACCATGTCAAAAATTCAATGTAAATAAATGAATACAAGCAGGGAAAGTTATAAGTTTCTGCATGAAAAATTACAAAGTTTAAGATAAATAGAAAAATATTTGCAATACACATGACAACCAAGATTTAATATCTTTACTATATAAAGAGCTTATAAAAAACCTAATCATAAAGACAAAAATCTAAGAGAAAATGGGCCAAGAACATGAACAGGCAATTCCGAGGTAATAAACAATGGCTAATAAGCATGTGAGAAGATACATAACTTCACAAAAACATAGAAATCAAAAAGATACTAGTAGCCATTTTACAAAAATTGGCAAAGATTTAAAAAATATCAACACTCAATTTTGGCTACACTATACATTAACTTCAGATATTTACTGTATAAGTGTTAGATTAGCACAGCATTTCTAGGAGACAATTTATAATATGCATATAAAAAGCCTTAAAACGTGATACCCTTGACCCTTACAATTCCACTATTAAAAATTTATCTTACAAGAATAATTAAGTTTTGACTAAAAAGATGTGTAAAAATAAAAGTCCCAAAGAATATTGTGAACCAGTAATTATCTCTGAGTTGTGAAATTATAACTTTTACTTTCTCTTTTGTAGATTTTATATAGTCTGAATTTTTTATAAGAACTAATTATTTTATTTTAAAAAGTTATTAAGATTAAAACAAGTGCAATCCTGTTATCCATCTTGAAGAATTCTATCTTCAAGGAAAGTACATGATTTTTGAGTGATTCAAATAAAGATTTTACCATTATGAGCAGATCAATTATGAACTTCTACCACGTACTTGTTGTTGGTTAAAGGATACTACATTCTTTCAGTCTCCTTTTTGAGAGAGTTTTCCTTTGAACCAACAAATGATGTAGGTGTTTCTTTCTTTCTATTAATAAGACCACTTTGATTTTTACCTTTTATTTTAGAGTAAACACTGTGAATTGGTATACAGAGAGTCAATTAAAAATTCTACATGAACTACTGAAAATATCATGATAAGCAGAATAGCATATTGGAGGTAAGAGGAAAATACATAAAGAAAAATCTTTCTATTAAGATTTTTTCAAAAAATCTCCCCCAAATCTATAAATGTTGCACTGTCACTGATAATTACTCTCTCTTTCTTTTGAAACACTTTTTTTTTCTTGGCTTTTAGGACACCACAATCTTCAGAACACCCTTTTCAGTCTCCTTTGCTGACCCTTTCTCCTCTGCTTGGTAGCTAATGTGGGCATGTCCTAGGGCTCAAACTGGCTTCTTTTCAAACTTAATTTTCCCCCTGATGACCTTCTCCAGTTCTGTGGCTTTCAAAACTCCCTATTTAATGACTATTCTCTATCTATACGTCCAGCTCTGACTTCTGTTGGAATTCAAGACTCAGGTAGTATCTCAAATTTAACATGGCTAAAACAGAACTCCATCTCCTCTTCTCTCAGCCCCAACCCTGCTCCTTCTCTAAATTGTTCAAGCCAAAAATTTAGGAGTTATCCTTCATTCCAATTTTTCCCTCTTCCACTGCAACCAATTTATCAGCTTCCATAACTACTAAACATATCCTGGAACAGTTTAATTCTCTCCAATTCCTCTATTAACCACTCTGGTTCAAATTATCTTCATCTCACTTTTGAACCATTGCAATAGCCTCTAACTTCTCTGTTTTCATTCCCTGCCACCCTCCCCCTTGCTCACCACGCTCCAGCCATACTGGCCTGACTGTGAATATGTGCCACCAGGCTCACTGAGGCTTCAGGGCTTTTACCTTGTCCTAGAATGCTCTAGACCTAATCTTTGAATTTTGGTTCCTTCATGTCATTCAGATGTCAGCTTAAATTTCGTCTGTCCAGAGAGGATAATCCAAACACTCAATCCAAAGTACCCACCCAGTTACCCTCTATTTTAATTTTCTATAGAGCACTTACCACTATGGTCTACTCTCAACTAACCATCCTCTGAAGGATATTTTAAATCCCGGGCCAGTTTCCCCTTATTACTCATCAAGTTCTGGGAATGCAAAATGTTTTACATTACCTTCAGAAAAACAAGATGAAGAAGGTAACTTAGCTACAAAAATAAACATATAATGCATTTGAAAACCAAGAACTACTTTTGCACTTGTGTCTAACAAGTCCTCTCTTAACATGCATAGCCATGTATGTGAATAAACTATATATAAACGTTGCAATTATACATTTTACTTAATATCACTATAATTAATACTGCTTAGAAACTAACCTGCATTTTATGATATTCCTTAGGCATAGAGAAGAGCAAAAACCGTTTTCTAAATTCCCACATGTTATCCTGAATGATACATTTAAATTCTTGGGTCCTGTTACATAATCCCTATTTCATTTTTTTAAAGTAGATGTTCCCTTAAAAGAAAATTACAAGAAGATTTTATTGCTGGTGGTGATTCTTTTTCTTGTTCAGAGAACAGTGATAATCTATGTATTGTGTGCAGATATATCAAAGACACTAAAATGTTAAATTTTCTTACACACTCAAAATATATAATCTAACCTATAGGCCCTATTACTTATATTACTGCTTTATTTGGTTTTTCATGCATTAGTTAAAATAAAACTTTTCAGCACCCTTTACTGGTAAAGGGGACTGATCTATCAATGTTTCTCCCTAGCTATGAACTATATAGCTTGTAATAATGTAATCATAATTTAAAATTACCGTCTAGACAAAAATAAGCTAGGCAGGTATTTTCTAAGAAAAATATTTTCTGTTCACACAGTCTCCTGGCTCTTTAAGTCACTGATGACTTACCTTCCGTAGGCCTTCATGAATGAGGTGACCTATGTCATCTATACTTCTTCCTAACCGTTTAGATAAATATGTGAAGACTGGATCTTCTTTAGGCAATAGAGGTGTAGAAAGATTAACTCTCTCTTGTACACCCTGAAGAAAGGGGGAAAAAAAAAACAACAAAAATCCAAAAACATAGAAAAAGGAGATTACAGGACTTAAAAGACAAATAATTCGGTATTTGTAGTATTTGTTTTGAGGGAATTTTAAGAACTAGAAGATGTTTATAAATATATTTGATCTCTTGCTTATAAAAACTATTTTTCTTTCTTCTCTCCTTCCTACAGCTTTTGAAAGGAGAGAAGAAAAACAGTTTTTATAAGCAGAAATAAAAATTTTAAACAATGTAAAAAAGGAAAACTCCCAAAGTTCTCTACTTACTCTTAAGTGCTGAAAAGCATGTATACTATATGGAAGTTCTAGAATTTTAGTACAGTCAGGTTGCTCAGGGTCTGGAGGGACAGGAGATTCTGTGTCTATATAATCTTCAGGGCTAAAATCAAGAAAAAGGAAGCATTAAATAAAAGGTAAGATAAATGATATTTAAGAAATGTCACATTTTTTTCTAACTGAACCATATTCATACAGCATCTAAACTTTACAACCAATATTAGTCAACTTTCATACCTTTTCATATACCTGTTATTAGTGTCAAATATTTTAGGAGTCTAACTTAAAGGCTATAAACCAACAGAATATAGCAGATTATACAAAGAATGTTAAGATCCTAGACTTTTTTAAAGCTAGTACATACTGCTACATTGTTTCTGGAAACGTTAAACCAATTTACACTTCCACTGACAGACACTCTGTCTTTTCCGACCCATAGCGACCCTAGAGGACAGAGTAGAACTGACCCAGAGGGTTTCCAAGGAGCGGCTGGTGGATTTGAACTGCCAGACCTTTTGGTTAGCAGCCATATGACTTAACCACTGAGCCACCAGGACTCCTTTCACTAGTCAATGATTTTTAAAAATTTCTTGCACTTTGATAGATGAACACTATGTAAATGTTTTAATTTGCACCTATTTCTTGCACATGTTTACTAGTCATTTGTATTTATTTTACTATAAATCGTTCAGTCTTCTACCGTGGTATGAAGTATTTTTAATTGATTTGTAAGAATTGTACATGTAGTATGTATTTTGAGCTTACAAATTTCAATAAACTGAGCTATGATTAAAGCTTACTCTTCATTACAGAAGTACTTTCTTACTGATTTTAGAAAAGTACGCTTGGAAAAACTTAATTCTTTACCTGATATCTTTGCTCTCCAAAGTTATGTATGTGCCATCATACAGATCCAGGTCACCTAAGGGCACCTTGGCTTTGATGCAGTCTGGATCTTCTTTATTATGTCTCTGTTCCAGTCCTGTGTCTCTGTCCTCATTTTCTTCTATGTGAATTTTCTGAGCAACTAATTGCTTCTGTCAAGAAGAAAATAAGAACAGAATGGATCCTTCTAATATTTTAGTCTAGATACCACTTAAGAAAAAGGAGAATTTAATAAGTGCTGAAGAAGTTAACCTGTTGCTATCGAGTCAATTCTGACTCATAGTGATCCTATAGGACAGAGAAAGACTGCCCCACAGGGTTTCTATGGAGCAGCTGGTGGATTCGAACTGCTGACCTTTTGGTTAGCAGCTGTAACTCTTAACCACTGCGCCACTGAAGAAGTTAGAGAATCCTTTATGAAGAAAGACAAAGATTGAACTGAGTTCTGAGTATACCATTATTTAACTTAGATAAACTTCTCTAAAAAGGTGTCCATACACAGAAAGTAACAACATGACTTTCACAATACTGGTACATAAGCTCCTTCATATATGATCTCTAATGTCCTATAAAGCCCCATCTACTAACTTAACTTCTCTGACACAGATGGCTCAGCAATTAAATGACTCTGAATTATCCAGACACATCACATTGTCAGAGTCCTCCAAGATGTTGAGTATGTTGATACTGCTACCCGGAATACCCTCCTCTAATGTGTGAGTGGTGCAAATGGTCAATATGCTTGGCTGCTAACTGAAAGGCTGGAGGTTCAAGTCTACCCAAAGCTGCCTCTGAAGAGAGGCCTGGTGATCTACTTCCACAAAATTAGCCACTGAAAACCCTATGAAGCACAGTTCTACTCTGACACATACGGGCTTGCCATGAGTCAGAATTGACTTAAAGGCAAGTATTGTTTTTTTTTTGTTAATATAGCAGTACCTATCATATATTTGTCACTCACTGATGCCAGGCACTGTATTAATAAAAATGATAATAACTTTCGCATCCTTCTAATCACTCAGGTCAAAAAACCTGGAGTCATCCTTGATTCCTCTTCATCTCTGTCTATTTCTTCCCAACCATCCTATGCTCACCCTCTTGTGTCTATTAGTTTTGTTGTTGCTTCCATGTTCTATCCTGTCTTTAAGATCTTATAATTTTAGCTGAGTTCCTACCCCAAGTAATATTCTGTCCTAAAATGATATTTGGGAAATTGAAGATGGAATTACTGAATGGGATGCTCAGTTACATTTCTGGTCGTCAGGTTTTATTCTGTCTTCCTGCTACCCTGTTAGGCCACAGACCCATTTTTTAATTTTTCCAGACTCTTCATGAGCAGGATGGCTCCACTCCAGTCATCAAACAATAAGCCTGGTTCTGTTCCTTTATCTTTCACGGAATATGTCAGTCCCCTTTACTCCACAGAGCTGAACCATCAGATACCATAGCCTGCTTCCGGACTTGGAGCCCAGCAAGTTTGTACTGTAGCCACACTCATAAGTTAGTGTTTCTGTTCCATTTCTGGTCCATGGAGAAGTTACACTATTTTTAAGCCTGGGTACATCTTACTTTGATTTCTATTTTTGTATTTTACCTGTCATTGCTCTGTACATGAAGCAGAAAGCACACTAAGTATAAACTCACTATAACACCTTAACCAAAAATCAGGAGAATCAACATTTTTTTAAATTTACATTTTCATTGACTTGGTGAATGTCATTTTTTCCTACATGTATTCTAATTTAAATCCTCTTCCTTTTATATTATACTATACTGCCTCCTAAAACACAGATAGCAATAAACATACACAGTAAGTGCCTATGCATCTGAAAATAGAAACTTTTCTCTACACTATATTTTTTGAACATCATGTTTAAATAAACAGATATTTCCAAGCAAAAAGTCCTATAAATATACCAATTTTCTTACTCCTAGTATTCATAAAAATCAACATTTCTAATTTTATGATAAAGCTGGTAGGGACAAGGTGAGAGACTATATAAAAAATGGTGAGGTATTCTAGTTCTACAAATAGTCTAAATATTACTATGAAGAGCTGATTAATGTGCTAAAAGTTCTTTCCCACTTAATTCCCAAAAAATTTAAAAACATATATTTATAACTCTATTTATAGATATACACTCACTGATTTTTGTATGTTTATCTTGTATCCTGCTACTCAGCTGAATCTATTAGTTCCAGTAGTTTTATCGTGGAGTCTTTAGGGTTTTCTATGTATAGTATCATATCACCTGCAAATAGGGATAGTTTAGCTTCTTCATTACCAATTTGGATGCCTTATATTTTTTTCTTGCCTTATCACTCTAGCTAGGACTTCCAGCACAATGGTAAATAGGAGTGATGATAAAGGGCATCCTTGTCTTGTTCCTGATCTCAAGGGGAATGTTATCAGCCTCTCTCCATTAAGAATGATGTTGGCTGTTGGTTTTGTATAGATGCCCTTTATTATGTTGAGAAATTTCCTTTCTATACCTATTTTATTGAGAGTTTTTATCAGGAATGGGTGTTGGACTTTGTCGAATGTCTTTTTTGCATTGATTGAGATGATCATGTGGTTCTTTTTTTCCTTTATGTAGTGGATTATGTTGATTGATTTTCTGATGTTGAACCATCCTTGCATACCTGGTATGAATCCTACTTGTTCGTGGTGTATTATTTTTTGTGATATGATGCTGAATTCTTCTGGCTATAATTTTGTTGAGAATTTTTGCATCTATATTCATGAGAGATATTGGTCTATAATTTTCCTTTTTTGTGCCATCTTTGCCTGGTTTTGGTATCAGGGTTATGCTGGCTTCATAGAATGAATTTGGAAGTATTGTCTCCTTTTCTATGTTGTGAAATAGTCTGAGTAGTACTGGTGTAAGCTCTTCTCTGAATGTTTGGTAGAATTCTCCAGTGAAGTCATCTGGGCCAGGGCTTTTTTTTGTTGGAAAGTTTTTTAAATTACCTTTTCAATCTCTTCTCTTGTTATGGGTCTGTGCAGATTTTCAACATCATTTTGTGTTAGTCTAGGTAGGAAGTGTGTTTCTAGAAATTTGTTCATTTCCTCTAGGTTTTCAAATTTGTTGGAGTATACTTTTTCATAATACTCTGTTATGATCCTTTTTATTTCAGTTGGGGCTGTTGTAATGTCCTCCATTTCAATTCATATTTGGTTTATTTGTGTCGTCTCCTGTTTTTCTTTTGTCAGTTTGGTCAGCAGTTTGTCGATTTTGTTGATCCTTTCAAAAAACCAACTTTTGGTTTTGTTGATTCTTTCTGTTTTTTATTCTCTATTTCACTTATTTCTACTCTGATCTTTATTATTTCCTTTCTTCTGGTGGCTGTGGGCTTTTTTTTTGCTATTTTCTATTTGTTTGAATTGTGCAGCTAATGTTTTGATTTTGTCCCTTTATTTTTTTGATGTATGCATCTATTGCTATAAATTGACCTCTGAGCACTGCCTTTGCTGTGTACCAAAGGTTTTGGTATGATGTGTTTTCATTCTCATTTGATTCTAGGAATTTTTTGATTCCATCTCTGATTTCTTCTATTACCCAGTGGTTTATAAGCAGGGTGTTATTCAGTTTCCATGTAACTGAATTTTTTTCCTTGTTCTTCGTGTTGTTAATTTCTACTTTGATGGTGTTGTGATCAGAGAAGATACTTTGTATTATCTCAGTGTTTTGGATTTTGTTAAGGGTTGCTCTGTGGCCTAAGATGTGGTCTATTCTGGAGAACATTTCATGCGTGCTGGAAAAGAATGTGTACTTTGCAGCTGTTAGGTGCAGTGTTCTATATATGTCTATGAGGTCAACTTGGCTGATTGTTCCCTTTAGGTTTTCTGTATCTTTGTTGAATTTCTTTCTAGATGTTCTGTGCTTTACCAAGAGTGGTGTGTTGAAGTATCCTACTATTATTGTGGAACTGTCAATTTCTTTTTTCAGTGCTGTTAAAGTTTATGTATTTTGGAGCCCCGTCACTGGGTGCGTAAATGTTTATTATGGTTATGTCTTCATGCTGGATCATCCGTTTAGTCTTGATATAGTGTCCTTCTTTGTCTTTTATGGTGGATTTTGTTTTAAACTCTACTTTATCCGAAATTAGTACTGCCACTCCTGCTCTTTTTTGGTAGCTGTTTGCTTGATATATCTTTTTCCATCCTTTGACTTTTAACAAATTTACGTCTTTGTTTCTAAGGTGTGTCTCTTGTAGACAGGATATTGATGGATCTTGTTTTTTTAATTCCATTCTGTCACTCTCTGTCTTGTTATGGGCACATTTAGGCCATTGACATTCAGTGTAAATTACTGATAGGTGTGAGCTTATTGCTGTCATTTTCTAGTGCTTTTTTTGTGGTGCTGACGTTTTCTTTGTTCCTCTTACTCTCCTGTGTTGAATTTCTTTTGTTTATGGATTTTTTTTCATTTCTTTTGTTTTTGTAGACTTACTGAGAGTTTTGTTTTTCTACTTTATTTTGATGAATACGTTTGTTAACTTTCTTTGTAGTTACCTTGAAATTTACCCTTATCTTCCTAGGTTTGAACCAGTCTATTATTAGTTGGTATCACCTTGCCTTCCTCTCCATTAGAAGGTTCTACACCTACACCTTTTATTACCTCTTTTATTGTTCTGATGTTGTCATTTACAGATTAACCTCTCTGCTTCCCTGTTGTAATTCTTTTGGTTTTGGTAGTCTTTGAGAGTTCATTTACTAGGTTGGTATCTGGCTGGTATGATCTTGCATCCTAGATTCAGCTTGTGGTCTGATGTTGTTTGTTCTCAGACCGAAGGACTCCCTTTAATAATTCATGTAAGTTTGGTTTGGTTCCCTTAATTTCTGTTTATCTGAAAATGTCTTAATTTCACCATCATATCTGAATGAGAGTTTTGCAGGATATATTATTCTTGGCTGGCAATTCTTTTCTTTCAAGGTTTTATATACGTCTTCCCACTGCCTTCCTGCCTGCATGGTTTCTGCCGAATAATCTGAGCTTAGTCTTATTGTTTCTCCTCTGTGACTTTTCATTTTTCTCCAGCTGCTCTCAGGATTCTTTTTTTTGTCTTTGGTTTTAGGGAGCGTGATTATGATATGCCTTGGTGATTTTATTTCGGGGTCTACCCTATATGGGGTTCTTTGATGGTCATCTTTTCATCTTTCATGATATTAGGGAAGTTTTTTGTCAGCAGTTTTTCAATGATCCTCTCTGTGTTTTCTGTTTCCCCCTGTTCTGGAACTCAGATCACTCACATATTTTTTCTTTAGATTGTATCCCACATAATTCTCGGGTTTCTTCATTTTTCTTGGCTCTTTTTTCTGATTTTTCCTCAAAGTCGTATCCAACTGTTTGTCTTCAATTTCACTGACTCTGTTTTCCATTGTTTCAAACCTGCTCCTCAGCCCTTCTATGACACTGTTCATTTCTGAAATCTTGTTGTTTATCTTTTGGATTTCTAATTGTTGTTTTTGTATGATTTCCAGTTGTGAATTTACTTTAGCATTTTGTTCCTGTATTATTTTCCTGAACTATTCCATTTTTTTTGTCTGTATTTTCCATGAATCTGTCTGCCTTTCCCATGAATTTGTCTATTTTTTCCTCATTTTTGTCCGGTTTTTGCTTCAACTCTTGGATAGCTCTGAATATTAGAGATTTGAATTCCCTATAAAGTAGTTCTAGTGACCTTTCTTCTATTGGAAAGTCAGCTAGTGTTTTATTTAGGATGCCTACTAACATCATCCTGTCCTGTTTTCTTATATATTTTGATACTGCCTGTTGTCTTAGTGACATTTAATAGTTATTTTCTTTGTTTATTGATTGTAGATTTATTTGCTTCTTCCTGCTTTTTTGTTTTATTTGGTTATGTCTGAGCAGGCGGGCTGTGCATTCTTTGTTGTTTGCTTGTCTGTGGGCACAATACTTTTCATCTCCTTGTACAATGTGCAGCTATGGTGCAGCAGGGCAGGTACAACTGAAGGGGAGGGGCTGGGATGGGTTGTCTGTGGCAGGTACTGGGGCCAACAGGGTGGACAGGTGGTCAGTGCAGGGCAGGTTCTGGCAGTTGATGCCTATGCTGCTCAGGGGTGTGATGTTCAGCATACGGTGCAGGTTGGGAGCGGGGGGAGGTTGTGATGTGTGGAGCTAAGATGCGTATGGGAAAGAAGAGAGAGAGGAGAGAGAAACAGGCCAAAAAAACCAAAACAAAAAAAAGTGCTGAAGATACTTTCGGTTGGAGTGGAGAGACAAGAAACCAAGAAATGGAGAAAAAGAAAAAAGAAAAAGAGAAAAAAGATAAATAAAAAAAAAAAATGCTCCCCTGTATCCCACTGGCATCTGGGGAAGTGGTTCCCAGGCCTCAGGGCAAAGTCTGTCTAGAAGGGGCAGAAATGACACACAGTGCCAGGTATTTAGGAGACAGGAAGGGAAGGAAAGCAGAGGGAGATGAGAAACTGAGAAATGAAGAAAAACAAAAAGTAAAAAAGGAAAAGTGAAAGTAAAAATAAATTAAAAAAAAAAAAGGAAAGGCCCCCAGGGATCCCACTGGTATGGCCGCACAGACCGCAGAAGTGGCTCCCAAGCTGAGCAGTATAGCCTGGCTAGAAGGTGCAGGGATGGGACACACTGCCAGGTATTCAAGAGCCAGGAGAAGAACGTAAGTAGACAGAGACAAGAAACTGAGAAAAACAAAAAGGAAAAAAGAAAAAGCAAACAATAATAATAAAGAAAAAGAAAGAAAGAAAGAAAAGCCCCCAGGGATCCCACTGGTGTGGCTGCGCAGACTGGGGAAGTGGCTCCTAAGCTGAGCAGTACAGCCAGGCTAGAAAGGCAGACGTGGCACACAGTGCCAGGTATTTACGAGACAGGAAAAGTAAGTATAGAGAGAGGAGAAACTGAGAAATGAAGAAAGACAAAGGGGAAAAAAGAAAAAAAAAAAAGAAATGCCCTGGGGGATCCCATCCACGTGGCTGTGCAGATCAGGGAAGTGGTTCTCAAGCTGCGCAATACAGCCTGGCTAGAAGGGGTTCCTAAGCTGCAAAAAGAAAAACAAACAAAACAAACAAACAAAGGCCCTGGGGAAGCAGTTGCCCAGCCAAGTGACACTTCACAGCCTATCAGGAAGAAGAAAAGATGGTACATGGAGCCAGGTGTTCGAGAGAAAGGAGGTGGATCAGCTGAGAGACAGGGAAGAAACCAAAAGAAGCTGTAAAAAGCAACACCAGCAACAAAGAAACAGCAATGTAGGAGCCAGCCAGTGTGGGCAGGGTGAATCCAAGCAGCATGGAGCTCCTGGCTGAGTGACCACAGCCAGCTAGGAAGCGGCGGAAGCTAAGGAGGGGGAAGAAGGGTGGGGGGGTGAGAAAGCATGTATCACTGGTGACTGGGTGCTCTGTCTCCTGCTGGGAGCTCCTTGAGGCTACTTTCGGCATACTCCCTGTACGCCTATCTTTGACAGAAGTCCAAGATTGCGAATCCATGCTGCATTAGCTGACAGGGGACTCTTGCTTGTATCTCTCCTCACTCTGTTCTCTATCAGTTTCTTATTCCATTTGGTGCTTGGCTTAGTTCTTTATCTCTTCATCTGATGCTTACAGTTCCCGGATTGATGTTTGTCTCTGTTTTACTTAGTTTTTTGGGTCTTTGCTGTGGAGGGATGGCATGGTGCTTCTGTCTATAGCACCATGTTGGCTGTGCCTTCCCCAATAGTTTTCTAAGTCTTATTTTACAAATTGGTTTACCTTTTTTTTACAACTTGTAATTCTTTAAAATTTGGATTCAATTTACGCTGTAACTTTTAAGCAGAGATTTTATTAGTATTGTTTGCTATTAAGTAAAATCAGTTTGTGGAAATTGATGATAAAGGTAAAACTGATGATTGATTTGCTTATTAAGCAAAAATGTTCAGATTTTATTAGCACTAATAAGTTTCAAGTTTTCAGGGTGCAAAGGGATTAATACTTTTCATCTCAACCATGAGAGCATACAGTAGCAAGATCCTAGCTTTCAGTGTTTGAGAATTAACAAAAATTATCTTTTTATAGAGTACTAAAACCTTTCTTCCTTTTTATATCTTACCCAAATTTTTCTTCCAAAAACATCTTCAGAGATTATATCCTCTTCACACTTGACGGAAAAACTTAAACATGGAAACTCTGTTCAAGAATACAGTAGGTCAAGAGGAAGGCATAAAACCCAGGCTAGGTTAGTCTGTTTCCCTTACTATTGCTCAAACATCATTCCCATTAAATGATTTTTAAAAACATATGATCAAAAGGTAGCATATTCCTGCAAAAGTCAGAAGAAGCAGGCTTAACAAATAATATGCTTTAAGTTTTCTTTGAACACAACTAAAAAACCCACTACCAAACCCATTGCTGTTGAGGCAATTCTGACTCATGGTGACCCAACAGCTCCCATGAAATGCAGCAAGTTCCAGTTGTATATCATACACCCAGTTTCCTCACCTCTAATTCTCTGAGGTAGTTAACAGTTGTTTCTTGTCTCATTAATATGACTAAATCATGGGGATGCTTCAAGTTCATTGGTGAATCCACCTGCAAGTAATAAGCAAATATAAATACGGTGCAGAGTCCATGAAGGTGTGTTTGGATTAACAATGGCTCCTTCAATATGCTTTAAATTATTGTTCAATCACTAATTAGTGCTAGGTACTCGGTAAAACTGAAGGGGTATTTCAAAAGTGATCACATGTTAAGTTTTAGCAATGGAAATGACAGGTTCAATAGCTATATGCCTTGAATTCCCATTTAAAAGAGGAAGCTGTTGAAGTAAATACCCTGACTTGACAGGTCCTATAAGGAATAGCCAAGAACAAAAGTATCTGGCAATGAATGATAAAAGTAACTTCTTAAAAAAATGTTTCATGTGGGGGGGGGCAGGGGGAGGAAGGGTGTCCTGTCTTGATAGCACACACATCCTATACCTGAGCAGGTCTGGAAGCAATAAAAGTGAAAATACTAAAAACAACTCCTTTTGAAGGCTATTTGTAGAAGCCATAAACCAAAGATAAAATAATCTTGAGATTTATTACTTAGAGCTCATGTTCTCTGGATCATAAACAAGTGACTATGTTGTTGACGATGTGGGAATAATAAACCCTCATATACTGGTAGTGGGATTATAAATTAGTCCTTGTTTTTGGCGCACCATTTGACAGCATATATTAAAATGCTGAAGGTGCATACCCCGCAACCTAGCAACACAAACTTATCCTATAGAAATTCTTATACAAGTAGGAAAGATATATACAAGAATGTTCACTACAACATTATTTTTAAGTGTAAAAAAAATTAGGAACAACATAAATCCATCAATAAGGGAATCCATCAACCAATGGAATGAGAGTAGAAAGTTAGATCTACTGTCATGGAAAGATGCCCACAATGTATAGTTTATAAAAACAATAAAGAATAACAGGTATACCATAATACTTTTTCCTTAAAAATTACATGCATATATTTTTATAGATATAGATGTGTACCTGTCTGCATACACAAAAATAAGATGGCCTCAGTGGTTTCTTCTGGGAACTGGGATTAAGAGGAGAGGTACGTTCACTTTTCTTACTATATACACTTTATTGTATTATTTAAATTGTTTATCATGCATGCATATATGCATCATAAGGAAAAAAGTTAACACACACACACAGTTCTTGAATCTCAGAAAAATACAAGACAGTGGCTTCGTTACCTAAGGGATGAAATGAAGTTCCTGCTATCCCCAGACTGCTAGATTGGAGGAGTCAAATTATATACCAGTCCTTCACGAAGTTCCACTTTGAGAAGAAACTATCTTTGTTGTAACCATTAAGAAACTGGCATCAGCTCAACTAAGTGATTTTAGAGCGAGCTTTGTTAAGTACAGATGATAGCCTTGCCTGGACCTTGGTGAATACCACAGCCTATTTAAAAAAAATCTATTTTAAAAAATGGGAATAAGAACAACATTAAATAAAGCTGGATGGCTGCTTTGATAATATGCGCTATAATGATCTGGTGATGTTGGCTGACTACAGATAAAACTCCTCTGCCTTTGCCCATTCTAACATCTTGGAGTTGCCAGAGGAAAGAGATGCTAGTCTGGAGTAACTTCCACTCATACCTTCAATGCAAATGTCTGAACTACATCTGGATGATTTTCACCTCCCATGGTGCATTTTAAGGACAACCTCTTCACTGCTCCTCCTGGTCTTCCCACTATACTGGAGTTCACTTTAGAACAGGGCTCTGAATTTAAAAGGCATTAAAAATATAAAAGCAAGGCCTATACCTGACCACATGAGCTATAAATCTCTATCAAACAACCAAACTTATCAGTGATCTTACAGGCAAAAAGCCAGGTTTATCTCAATAAGAGGTGGAGGATTTTGCTTCCCTTTTCATAGTATTTGAAGATATTCCCAACAGTCATATATGGTAGGGCAGGGAAAGGTACTATAATGGATTGAAGACAGATTGATCCAACTCCAAAGTCCATCATTCTTTTTACACCAGTGTGATATATTTTCACTAGTACATCAAGATTTTTTACAGGAGACAATGTAAAAACTACAGCTAGTGGCCAATGTGCAAAAAAGCTTTGCACATTTAAATATGGAGGCCAGAGACACCGCTCCCACAACCTGTTTTTACACCAACATTCCGTTGTGAGGAAGTACTTTTCATTTCTTTGAAGCTTTGAGTTCAGCAAACATACAGCAGCTACAGGAGTTATAAAGAAAAAATTGTTAGCAGAAGGAAGGAAGGAACTCCCTTGACAGCTGTGTTTTTCTTTCTGACGTGGCAGCAAATGGCATGGATCTTAGTCACATAAAGGTTGGTTACGGATTTATAGCCCTGCATATATTCTTATTGAGGTACCTTTAGGTTCTTAAATTTTAAGATTTTACAATAATTATCTTTGGCAAATACCAATCAGCTACCTATCTTCTGTGAATATCTCTCCTCATCAAAAGATTATGAAAGAGGACACATTTGACAACTTTACAAATACTACCACATCCATTCAATCAATAAATGTTTATTAAGGCTGTATGAGCCAGGTCCACCATGAGTCAATATTTGGAACCTGTGTCCTCCTGTTTTACATACAATGAGAAAAGGAATGGTAATATGTCTTCAAAATCTTTAGCATTTAGAAGAGGCTGCTAAGCAAAATGTGTCAGGAATTAGAGACAGGTAGATTTAAAAGGGCACAATACATACACAAGATCTCGAAGCGCTATGTGGCTTTTTCACAAGGGAAAAACCCCACAGTCTTCCATTACTGCAGAGAACAATAAATGATGCTCATAACAACCTGAATCATAAAGAAAAAGTTGAATTATTTTCAATTTGCTGTACTTAAGAAGGTGAAGAAGTATGAAATATATTTTAGAACAAAATTTATACTGCAAGGAAAAACTGACCAATAAGCAATTTAGAAATTGTTGTTATTTTTAGGGGCCATAGAGTTGATTTAGACTCACAGTGACCCCATGTGACAGAGCAGAACTGCCCCATAGGGTTTTCTTGTCTGTAATCTTTACAGAAGGAGCCTTGGTGGTGCAGTGGTTAAGTGCTTGGCTGCTAATCGAAAGAAAGGTCGGTGGTTCGAACCTACGAGCCGCTCTGCAGGAGAAAGATGTGGCAGTTTGCTTCCATAAAGATTTAGAGCCTTGAAATCCTATGGGGCAGTTCTATTCTGTCCTACAGGCTCGCTATAAGTTGGAATTGGCTCGATGGCAATGGGTTTGGTTGTTTTGGTTTAATCTTTAGAGAGGTAGATCACTGGGTCTTCCTCTCATGGATCACTAGGTGAGTTTGAACAGCCAACCTTTTGCATAGCAGCTGAGCACTTAATCCTCTGCACCAGCAGGGTAGTGGCTGTTGTGTGTCATCGTGTTGATTCCAACTCATAGTGACTAATTAGCTGTGTGGAAATCTATTATCTAGAAAAATACATTCTCTAAGAGTTCTAGGTAAACAAAGTTTCACTATTATTGTAGCAATTTACTTTAATAAAGAAAATGACAAACAATTCTTAGTCATCTAGTGCTGCTATAACAGAAATACGACAAGTGGATGGCTTTAACAAAGAGAAGTTTATTCTCTCACAGTCCAGTAGGCTCAGGGCATCAGCTCCAGGAGAAGGCTTTCTCTCTCTGTCGGCTCTGGAGAAAGCTCCTTGAGATGCATCAGTCTTCCCTTGGTCTGGGAGCTTCTCTGCGCAGGAACCTCAGGTCCAAAGGACACACTCTGCTCCCGGCACTGCTTTCTTGGTGGTATGAGGTTCCCATGTGTCTCTGCTCACTTCTCTCTTTTATATCTCAAAAGAGATTGGCTTAAGACACTATCCTATCTTGTATAGCTCATCGGTATAACTGCCGCTAATTCATCTTATTAGATCACAGTGATTGAATTTACAATACATAAGGAGATCACATCAGATTACAAAATGGTACACAATTATATAATACTGGGAATCATGACCCAGCCAAGTTGACAGGTATTTTTGGGGGACACAATTCAATCCATGACACATACTCAGAAATTTAATTTTATTTTCCTCTGAATATAGGTATATGCATCCAATTATTTATAACAGTAAATATTTTACTCATATTGTTCATTTTTCTATATTTCATTTGTTCCTTTCTCTAACCAAGATATCTTCAATATCTGTTCCTCCAATCCAGAAGCCTATCTCTGTGAACTCAGTAAATTCATATAGTCATAGATGGAGGAATCGCTACATGAGGGTAATTACTTGACGGTCAAATTAGATAAAGGGTGAACATTTTAAATTAAAAACAACCAATTTAAGGGTTTAAACATTTTTGATATTCTACAAAAGCAACTTTGAGTCACTTTCCAATAATCCTTTATGAAAGGAAATCGAACATTTGTTTGTCTAAACAACATTATAATAGACAATGCATATTATAACATTGTCTATTGTAACAATTACAGCCCTCCTATGCAATTTATTCACGTATGTTGTCCATTTTTACCTGTGTTTTTAAAAAATCGTATTCATCTGAGTACATGAAAGCAACATTAATGGGAAATTCACTCTTTTCTCAACAGCAGTTGGAAAGTGATGAATGAAATCTCATATTATGCAAATCTTAAGTGTTCGACTACTAGCCGAAAGGTTGGTGGTTTGAATCCACCTAGAGGTGCCTTGGAAGAGAAGCCTGGAAATCTGCTTCTGAAAGGTCACAGCCTTGAAAACCCTATGGAGCAGTTCTACTCTGCACACGTGGTTGCCATGAGTTGGAATCGACTTGATGGCAAGCAATAACTCATTTTTAAAAATCTTCCCTTAAGTTAGAAACTAGGGACAAAATATTTTTATTCAGAATTTTAAAACATAATTTATTTTACTTTTTGTTGTTGCTGAGAATATACACAGCAGAACATACATCAACTCAACAATTTCTACATGTTTTTATTCAGAATTTCAGATGGTTTAAATATTAAGATAATATGTTAGAAAACATAAATGAAAATCTTCAAAGCCACCAAGATTTCACCTCTATGTAAAATGTGAAATGGTTTCACACAGTATTTGTAGTTTTTGCCATAGAGCATCCAAAACTCCCTTCTGGTAGCAAAACCACCCTACCTTACTTTTCTGGAAGCATCCTTCCCCTCATGGGAAGCCCTGGTCAGTGGATTCCTTTCCCTTGGCCATGGAGATTATTTCCCAGATGGGAAATTAATCAAGTAAGGTCAGCTGGTACTAAAGAGACTGTAATCCAAAATTTTTATTTGAACTATTTAAGACCAGCCATCTTGTATCCACAGCCCTGAGAATGGGGCTGAAGAAGCAGAGAAATGGAGACAGAGAAAAACCTATCCTGGTTATTGTTTGAGCCCTGAATCAAACTGTATCTGTAGTACTTAGAATATGCCTAAACACACCAATGAAAATTTCACAATACAGAAAGTGTTGATGATATTTTTAAACTGCTGCCTAATTTCCTTAAGGTCCTCTGATAAGGGTTATCTTCTTAGCTTTGTGGCTCTTATAAGAGCCTCTGTGACTTTGCACATGCTGCTTCCTCTACCTGGAATGTGCTTCAATCCTTATGGTTTTGGTGAAGGCCAAATGAGTTGACTCAAATGACATTTCTTTTGTGAAGCCATCCCTTTCTTGAGCTCCCACAGTACTTTATATACACTTCTACAATAGCACTTATTACTTTGTTTATTGTGTCTGTCTCTCCAAAAAAGACTTGGAGCCCCTCAAGGAACTGTATTCCCCTTTTTACACTCAGGTTTCAGGTACATGTTAGGCAGTTAATATACTGTTAATTTTTTGATGAAGGTTTCTATGATGCCACATATGTTAGATACTCCACAAGCATCTCTTGAGGCATTATCATTCACTGGAAAGGAGTTAAAGTGGCTAAGCCACCAGCATTCAGAAAAAAAATATGTCCTTGACAAGGTCTATGGCTGACTAGCTGTGCGACCTTAAGCAAATCACATTCCGTGCCTGGGCTTCTGTTTCCTCATCTATAAACCGAGAGAACCCAACCAAATGACTTCTTAAAGTTCCTTATAGTTTTCAAATCCTACATCTATAAAAGACGTAAAACTATCATGAAAGTATCAAAAGTTTTACTAATCTGACCCACACCACTGAAGCAATCTGATATTCAAATGAATGAAGTTATCATTCTTTCAAATGGCCCATATAAAATCTTACTCACCCTAGGCAGGGGCTATTTCCAAAACTGCAGTAAAAAGCTTCATTTAAACTGTAAATTTCTCAAATTAAAACAAGGCTCCAATCAGCAGTAGCAATTTATTTCTGAGCAATTAGATTGCTCATTGTATCATAGGCAAAGTTAGCCCTCTCTGTCCTTATGCCATTTAATTTTAACAAAGTTTAAATTAAAATTTTTTTCTGACTAAAAGTATACGTTACCATAAAAAGAAATAAAATAGACAATATAAAGAAAATAAAAAGTACTTAAAAACTCCATCATTCACAGATATCTTTAACAGATATATATCATGTCAGGATAACTTATAAACATATATACACACTGAGCTATGTAGCTACATATTCTTACAAAAATGTGATAATATTTATGCTATACTGTATCCTCTTCCCCATTTCCCCCATACTTTATCAAACTTATTTCCCAATAAATATAGATCCACATCATCATTTTTAATGGTTAATATTATATTAAAGTCATTTACACAGGTTCATACTAACTAAAATTTAGGTTTTTAGTTACTCTCTATTTTTAACAATATTGTGATGGATATCCTTACACTTAAATTTTTTTGCACAGTTGTCTGATTATTTCTTTCTGAGAAACTGCTGGGTTAAAGGGATTGTACTTTTAAATATATTTTTTTGCCAGATTTTACCCAGAACAGTTTAATCAACTTAAATTCCTAACAACAGTGACTGAGTTTCTATAAACCCTTAGAAACACAGGAATTAGGGTGGACATATTTTAATCTCCTTATTGGCCATATGTATTTCCTCTTTTGAGTACTTATAAAAAATCTTTCTCCCTCTCTTTCCTTAAAGTATCTGACAGTTTATATACTACATTTTAAGAATGGTGGTTTCTAGCTGGTGGGACTTCAGATGATTATTTTCTTTTTGCTTATCTGTGCTTTCTAACTTTTTCTACAGTGAACACATATTAGTTAAATCTATAGTGCTGTTTTTTCTTAAAGTGCTATCTAAAGATCATCTTGCTAAAATGAAACGTTAGCGTGCTATGCGACATATTTTACCGTATTTTTTGAAACATCTATAATGATAAACTCAGGTCTGAGGCACAATCTTGTAAGTCTTCCTCATGTCTTCATAGAAGAAATGTTCCTCTGACAGATGTGGGGCCGGACATATAACCTCAAAACGGCAACATCTTTTGTATTTTCTTATTCCTTACGTTTTTCCCTCAGATTTTTACCCTTACCGCAAATTTAGTTCCCTGCCATTTTCAAAAGGCTGTCCAAGGAATCCTTACCTATGTGATCTCAGCCATGCTAATGCAGTGACAAGCAAGATGAGTTTTAAAGAGATAGAATGAGGGTAGCAAAAAATTCTGTCATCCCAGTTTACATGCAACTCTCTCTTCAGGACTTAAGTCTAAGCTTCAGGGGACTTGCATCTTCTTTCAGGTCTAGAGAAGTGCAATTTCACAAATACCAGTACAGCCTTAGCTCTTGAGAGAGACTTACAGGCTATTAGTAAGTGTCCAAACCTGAATGCATAATATACACAGATATTCTACTAGAAACATTTAATTGCGTGAGGGCAAAAAAACAGTTATTATGAACTATCAGGATTTGGAAATATTTTTGTCAAAGATGACTTTCTGCTGTTAGAGCACTTATTTTAATGATGAATTAAAAACCAATCACAATCTTGTAGCATGTCAAGTCATCAAAACTGAAAATAAACTTTAAACAAACAAAAACACTGAATCATGACCAGCACCTGAATTTTCATGGCCT